TTTCATCCCCACTATTGTAAGCTTTAGTTTGTCTTTTTGGAGTTAGGTTAGACCAGGGTTGTCAAACTTTATTGTACTGAGACCCCTTTCTGAGAACAAAAATTACTATATGACCTCAGGAGTGGGGACTGAACCCTGAGACCGCCTGAGCCCCATTTCCTTGAGTGGCGGGCAGGACCAGCTCCAGGCACCAGCGGAGGAAGCATGTGCTGCTAAGGGGCGGCATTTCGTCCATTTTTGGGGTGGCACAGTCCAGGAGGTTTTTTTTTTTTTTTTGCTTGGGGCGGCAAAAGTGGTAGAGCCGGCCCTGGTGGCGGGGCCCAAGCCTGAGCCCCACCAACTTGGGTGGGGGGGACAAAGCTGAAGCCAAAGGACTTTAGCCCCAGGTGTGGGGGGGGGCTGTAACCTGATCCCTGTCACCTATGGCTGAAGACCTTGACCCCAGGCCACGCTAAGTCCAATGCCAGGCTTGGCGACCCCATCAGGGGTCGCAACCCACAGTTTGAGAACCGGTTAGACATATGCACGTGTAATAGAAAGGCTGTTGTACCTCACTCTAGCAGTGGTAGTGACCAAGCACTGTTCGCTGTTGTAATGTTTTCCCCTAAGTTGACAGCTGTGGAGCTGAGCAGCTCAATAACTTTAATGCATACTTTGAAAATTATAGGGGTTGAGGTTGTCTTGTCCATTGGAGAACAAGTATAGAGCATGTTAGTGTTCTCTCAATTAATTTCTTTCCTGTAAATTGATCATTCACATACTGTACTCTAATTATTTAGAGGAGCTGCCATTTAAAAGGATAATCAGTAGCTATAATCTTCTGTGCTCAGCTGAATGGTTAATTCTAAGTTTTATACTCAATTGTGTGTTTGTTTTGTTGGAAGATAAAGAATAAAAACCTGATTGGCTATTAACATTTTATTGATGCAACTTACTTTTGTTTTGTGGCTGTATGCACACATGCCCTAGAATCTGGTTAAACAATAACAGCTTCACCAAGTACTTTTTTGGAGAAATGTTGGCGCATTTATTTAAAAAGTCTTCTGTATGTTCAAGGCACTTAATAGGCAATTCACCTACACTTAGGAAACAGTATTTAAAGGATGTGGCTTATTGCACCGAAGAGGACTGCAGTTCACTTTTTGTAATGAAAATGGCACCTGGTTGGCTGGGTTTTTAACCTTCATTAGCAAAGAATGAAAAGGAGTAGAAAACTAAAATAGTTCCATGGCTTCATTACTGATCACTCTGGATAAAAGGTTAATATTGACACACTTTATTTTTAGAGCAGTTTACAAAGTTAGGGGCTCTTCATTTTCACTGAAAACTGTAGTCTGTCTCTGCATATGTGGTGTGAGGACGGGCAGGGGTGCTGGAACAGGGGTTGGCTTGAAGTGGTTTCCATCATATATAGGGTTTATAGTTTTGTTCAGTGGCTTTCGGCACTCCCACTATAAAAATTCTTCTCATGCCACTGAGGAAAGGTTAACATTCTAAAAAAGAATTAGGGAAATGTTAGGGTTTTTTTAATATTAAGCATAATCTACTAGTTTCACGTGACATTGAAAATTGTATTGATTATGGATTGAATGTATGGAAATCCTCTGTGATTTCTGCAGTGGCTGGTGCGCCTGGCCGGGAGGCTGCCTGAGGAGCTCAGGCAGCCCCTGGGCCAGCTGCACCGGCCGCTGCTGGGGAAGTCAGGTCACCGCATTCCCCTCCCCCAGCAGCAGCAGCAGGAGTTTGGGTGGGTGGCTCAGGGCTGGGGGTTGGGGCCCGGGAAGGGGTGAGGGCTGTGGGTGGCGCTTACTTCGGGGGTAGGGGGGGCGCTCCCCAGAAGCAGTGACATCCCTCATCTCCTAGGTAGAGGCATGTCCAGGCAGCTCTGTGTGCTGCCTCCACCTGCAGGCACTGCCCCCTGCAGCTCCTATTGGCCACGGTTCCAATGGGTGCTGCAGAGTCAGCGCTCTTGGCGGAGGCAGTGTGCAGAATTGCCTGGATTCGCCTTTGTCTAGGAGCTAAGGGAGGGGGATGTCGTTGCTACTGGGGAGGCGCGGAGCCAGGTAGGGAGCCTGCCAGCCCCGCCAACTCCCTCCCCCTCACCAGCGGGGGGGCCCCCCACGATTTAGTCAGGAGTATATAGTACAAGTCATGGACAGGTCACAGGCCACGATTTTTTGTTTACTGCCTGTCTATGATTTTTACTAAAAATACCGGTGACTAAAACGTAGCCTTAATTATGGACTGTACCTTCAAAGTCGCCCTTAAAAGTGTAGAATCCCCAGGTTCAAAAATCTACTCATTCAACTTAACAATGATGTGCAGGAAAAGAATTCTTGTTCATTTAAAAAAAATACCCTAAATGAGTAGGCAAATATCATTTTACAGTGTTGTACCATTGCACTAAATTGGAACAGAAACAGTAGCCAGTTGATATTTGGTTAGTAACATTTTTGAATTGATGAAGAATGAAAATCTGAAAACTGGGTACTTGGAGGAATATATAATTTTCAAAAGAAAAGTCTCAATATATTCTGTCAGTAATTTAATCTCTTGTCCAGTGTAGTCAGTAATTTTTCATTGACTATTGAGGGTTGCATGGCTGTCAGTATTCTATTAACTGAAAGCTTAGTTACAGTTTTTTGGTGTTGCTTGAGAGCTTGTTACCTACTAGTCTGTCAAATGAAAGATAAGTATATTTATCTGCTAGGCTGTTGTCTGCCCATGTGCGCTTGGGGAAACTTTAAAAAAATACAAGCAGAAAGCTGCCCCCTGGGATATCTTTCAGGAAACAGCAGCAGCATCTTTTCAGTGGGAATTATTTGCAGTTAAGCCCACAGATCTCAGTGTCATGTGACTAGAAATGCAGGCAGCAGATTGACATCAGCACACTCTTTCAAACTCTATTGAAATAAAAAAAAAGGGGGGGGGGAGGGGAGGTTCTGTTGCCTGTTCTTAGTACTACTAATTCCAGCTCTAGCTTGCTTGCCATTAACCGAGCTAGCAGCAAGAGCAGCAGTACTGATAACGGTAGCACAGTACTCTTGATGAGGTCAAGCTGGATGAAAGGCAAGCCTGCTGTAGAAACGTCTACTGTAAGTTCTGAAGACCCCTCCCCACAGCCCCTCCAGATGAAATTCAGTTATGTACATAACAGCGTAGGGCTGCAGCATTCTGCATCTACTATATGATTATGGAATTAGATCACGTATAGTAAGTGTTGTCAGATTATGTGCTAACATACTGAAACTGAATTTGTCAATCATGCATTAGTTGATTAGTGGTGGGTGAGTTATCATGCTTTACATTTTTCTGAGTGGAGAAAAGTGCTTGTTTTGCCCTTTCAAAAGCCTCCACAGTTGTTAAGGTTATAGTTTACCAGGTTTGGAATTATATAGTGTTTTCTAGATGGAGTAGTTACAGAGAACCTTTTTAATTGCTCTGTGTTCTAGTGGTGTTTCACCAGATGAAATTAACATAGCTAATTTGAGTTCAGAGATTTTCTAGTAATGGTTTATATTGGAGGACAGCTGTTGAAACATGCATTCAATTAAAAAAAAAACCTGATCCAAATCATGGAAACATCTATACATAATAATGACTAGCCAGTAGAATACTGGTAAATAAGACCCGCTTTGTATATGTTAATATTGTAAGCCAGGTGAGGGATTTTTGGCTCTAGCATGATTATAGACTGTCTTCCGAGCAAATTGTTTTAAAATCCAATTCTGTGTACAATAAAAGAAGAAGCAGAATGTCAGTTTCTTTTCTCTTTTGCTTGGAATGTTTTAGGCTTTGCTGTAAAAATCATCACCGCCTGTCTTTTGTAATTCCTTAAAATTATTTAGGGATTTATATAATAGAGCAACTGTCGTTGCAGCAGTGATATTCTTTTTTACAAAATTAAATATATATGAGAGACAGCTACACACCAGAGTTAGCAGTAAAGAACCATTGGTGCTGCCTTAAGAAATGTGAACAACTGTCTTGTAAATTTTTCAGCAATATAAACAAAAAAAAGAACAACCATGTAAAAGCAAACCCAAATAATTCATGTCCTGGCCCTGAAGCTTGTTGGACTCTGGCTCTGATGAACCACCAAGGGGAGTGAATTCCATATTAAAAGAACTGAGTTAAATAATTACCACCCAGACATAGTTTATGAATATATTGTAATTTAAGAGGCAAGAAAGTGTTATGTTTTGTTGCAGAATTTACTATACTTCCACCCCCCACACCATACACTTTGGAAGGAGATGGCATAATTGTTCTGTTTTTGTTAATCCTCAACTGTTATATGTGGAAAATGGGCAGATATACTATTGCTCCTGTGTCTTGAACACAAACAAGCTAAATGTTGAACACCATGCCACGAATTCATAGCACTGCAACGAGCAGAAAAATTCACATTAATGTATATACCTCTGATTAGACTCTAATTTACCTTCATTATAGAAAGTTCTTGACTATGATGGTCCAATTAGCATTGATAAGCATTTTATTCAAAATTTACTTGATCCATGATTTCCAGAGTTGAGCAATTGGGATGAATGAGGGGAAAAATCATGTGAAGTTAGTCCTTAATATTATGATTTCTTAAGATATTTATTTACATGAGTGGTTTAGCAAATTGAAACTCTCTTGAGGATGCTGATTCTCAACTATGCTTGTTGTTTAATAGATAAAGAAAAGAAGTTTCTGGAGGGGAAGGCATTTTGCTTTTGTATACCTGTATCAGAACTTCGCACAATGTGCCCCTGTTGCTGACTGGAACTACTTCAATACAAATATTATATAATAATTTATGAATTAATACTTGCTAATGATCACCATTGTTGCCACTGAAACATCAAAGTTGCAGTACAGCCTTAAGTGGATTTTTGTGAAGGGCCCCCTTGGGTGCTCTGAACTATCCCCATTTTTAAACATGCATAAGTACATGACATATATTGCTACTTGTTTATCCAGTTGGTGATGCTTGGTGATTGTTTTCATTTTAGCATTCAGCTCCTGAGTTGATCCTGGTTGAAGATGAGATGACGGATACTGAAGATAATGAAGAGGAGGATTTAGGAGTCATGGAAGAGCAGCGTAGCATAATTCTTCATCTCATCTCACAGCTCAAACTTGGCATGGATCTAACCAGGGTAGGCACACTCTATCTATCTATCTATCTATCTATCTATCGATCTATCGATCTATCATCTATGTCACTCATTCTTTCTTACTACATCAGTTCTTCCTCCCAAACTATTTTGTTTCAGATCTCAACTTATTCTGCAAACTCTTAAGCAATAGTTTTCATAGATTTGCTTCTTTTCAAAAGTGTGGTCCCATCCTGGGGCTGTATGGAGAGTGATCAGCTTTCTTAGGCAGGCTTTTCATGTCAAATTATAGCAGCAGGAACTGCAGAAAATGAAGGAGAGGAAAATGTATGTTTGTTTGTAGGCAGTGGTGGAGGAGCTTTACAGATTTGTATTTGTCTTAGAAAATTAGACTTTACTGTGGGCTTCAAAACAAGACCTCACATTCCATTTGGGACAGTGACTGTTTAATCCAAACGAATCTGGAATTGTGGTATAATGTTTCCACAGGGCAGCTCACAGTTTCATTTGACCAAATCTTTTAGTCCCATTATAGTCATCAAGAGCAGAATAGAGGTCATGATAAAATTTCTGTCTTGCTCTTTAGGGCCCTCATTTTGTAAACACTTACACATCCTTAACTATGTTGATAGGTGCTGGAACTATGGGTGCTGGGGGTGCGGCAGCATCCCCTGTTTTGAAGTGGTTTCCATCAGAGACAGGGTTTACAGTTTTGTTTAATGGCTGTCAGCCCACCCACTATAGAAATTGTTCCAGCACCTATGACTGTGGGGTGAGTAGACTCATTGGAATTGGTAGTGAGTAAAGTTGTTCACGTGCATAAATGTTTGCAAGGCCAGGGTCTTTATCGCCTTTTCTTACTGCTCATTCAGGGCAAAATCCTGCATTCTTTGTACATTCAAAACACCCATGAAAGCAATGGGTTTATTGGCTGTGCAAGAAATGCAGGATTAGGCTCATAGTCCGTTTCATTTCACCTGCATCTAAAAAGACAAAGTGAACACTGGGAGTTAAAGGCTTTCAATTTAAGGAACAAGGAAGGTGGGTTAAATTAGTACTTTGGTATCAGATACCTTTGGATCACATGAAAACTTCAGGCAATCTACTATAACAAAATTATGGCCCCTCAGGACAAAACTACTCTTCATGTTACAGTCATATTATAAAAGATTACACTTTGTGTATTCCTTTGTTCTGAAACCATTCAAATATAATATAATATAATATAATATAATTATAATATAAAAAAAATCATAGAATCAAGAGGTCATCTAATCCAACCCCTTGTTCAAAACAGGACCAATCCCCAACTAAATCCCCAAATGACCCCCTCAAGGATTGAACTCACAACCCTGGGTTTAGCAAGCCAATGCTCAAACCACTGAGCTTTCCTTCCCCCCATTAAAAGGAATCTTATTGTAGAGGTGTCACCTGAGAGATTTTCTGTAAGCCCCTGCAGAGTTGGAAAATTTGTAGATAGTTTGAAAATGAGAACTTCCTCCCGTTAATAATTTTGTATTCCACTCTCTAGTGATTTTATCTCTTGTGGATACATAGGCGTTGAGAGGATTTTTTTTCCTAATGGCATGGAGTACCCTTACAGAAAGCTTTTTGTTGTTGTTTGTTGTCAAAGAAGTGAAATAAGTAAAGTGAATTTATTCTGACTTGTTTCCTCCACAAATAAAAGCAGTATGGGAAGGTCGGAGAGTTGTGTCTGTATGGTAGAGTAATTATGAAAGAGAGCTCTTCTCAAGGGCATGTGGATATACAAAAAAGCTTGGCTTGCTTTCCTTTTGATCTTAGAAACAGATTTTTATTAATTTACATTGTATTATTTTTCTCTGAAATAAAGGATTTGCCCAGTGTGGTCTGTCCTCTCCTCATATACTTGCGTATATGCCTCCTTCTCCTAAAATGATGGAAATAATAAGACAAAATAATATGAACAAGACAACTTCAAGGTTAAATAGTCCTTTAATCCATTGCAAAAATAATATCAGATACCTGTACTGCCAGTAATGTTTATTTCTGAGTGCAACCAAAGTTTCACCACTTAATTTCTGAATTACTTCTGTTCCAATTTCTTAGAGCTGAGAGAAACACCTAGACCTGTATACTATTTGTATTTTTGTTTGTTTGTTGGTTTTTGCATTCTACAGCCTCTTAGGGCTCTTCAGCTTTAGTGGTCTGGTATAAATGCTGTAACATTTCTATTTTGAATTCAGAATCTTACAGTAGATCTAGAAGCTTCATAGACCTCCACCGTTAACACCTTCTATTTTGTAAACCATTTTCTACTTTTGGTAACCTAGATGACTTTTATCACCCCACCAAAACACCTGAGGAGGCAGTAAAACTATTTCAGTCTAATATATCAAACTATCTCTGAGCTTCTTTCTCTTTAAATTTCCAGTCCCTTCTCTGTATGTGTGCTGCCACACAAAACCCCCAAATACAAAATAGTATGAATGAGAGGAACATTAAATTGAGGCTATATCAAGTGAAACATTAATATCTTCTTTTCTGATCAATCACTTCTCATCCACTGTGGGAATCAAATACTTAGGATTTTTTGCCTCAAAGGATAATAATTTGTTGTAGGCTGTGCGTTGTTTGTTTTTTGTAACAGTGTAAATATTCCCAAGTGTGCAAAAATAAATAAATAAAGAAGGTTACAAGAATCTATTCTCTGACCTTGATCTCAGATCACATTGACAGAGTATTACAGGGGGTTATGTGAACTTTGGCATCTGACCCTAATATTGGCAAAATGTTAATGTGTGTGTATATAGATGTTTATGCTGAATGAAGAATAAGAAACTTGTTTAGCCATGTCAGGTTCATTTTTAGTGTATATGATGCATGAATGCAAATAGTAAGAGTATCAGTCAGATCATTGTGTTACCATGGGCACATGTCACTTTTCTAACCATTTGTGAATTTTTTAAAAAAAAGTACTGACTGGTTGGTTTTATTTATTTATTTATTTTTTAAAAATTGTCTAGATTGCTGACTGATACAGGGAGGCAACCTTTAGCCTGTATAGAAACAAAGCCTAGTTTATTTAGTGACAGTACTTATTTCATTTTTAACCGTTCCTCTAAAAGTCAAATCCCAGGTAACTTTGATACTGGTCAGCTTTTGGGTCTGCAGGAGCTAGTTGTGACAGATGTTGATGTTAAAATCAAAAGATGTTTGACTTCAGTTTAGTTTTAAATGTTTTGGAATTTCCCAGTGCCTACTTCACCAGGGCTTTTTCTTTAGTTGCTTTCTTAAACTAGAAATGGTTGTATGATACTTAGTGGCAATTGCTCCTGAAAGACTTATCATAAAATTCCTGAGCCATATAAAAGAAAACAGCATATTTTCCCTTTCCTAAGGACCGGTTTCTTATGTTGGCATATTAGCTTTGGCTACATACAAACTGACTCAAGTTTCCTAAGAAGATAATAGCAGCACTTTAATGTTACAGAGGTGCTCACTGCTGGAATGAGACGTGCTGCCCCATTTCATATTGAAGGATTATATTGCACTTGCTGTCTTGACTTGACATCACTGATTACATCAGGTTTTGCTAGAGCAGGCTCCTGCATTCACGTGGACTTTCACAGCAATCAGAAGCGCTGCATGTGGGTTCATGGCTCTGCATTGGTAGATCACAGTGTAGCATTGAGGCTTTAGCTGGATCAAGGTTTTTAGGCTGCACTTTAATGTGCTTTTTAAAGTAGATTTATTGTGCAAATAAGTTTTGAAATTTATTCATTCTTTGGCTTTTAATGAAAAATGACAGAAATTACTATTAGCCTAATACTTTTTCAGCAGCCATTTCTGTCCTGTAATTTGGATAGCTGGGTTATTAGTCACACACATTCCATCAGACAGATCAATTGGGACAACTTTTGGTACTATTCCTGTGGTGCTTAGTATCCTCCCCTCTCTTCCCAGTTATTTGCAATCCTAAAAGTAAATGGCTGACAACATATACAGCAACAAAGTCATGCCATAACCCAGAAGAGAGAAAATAAATCCATTCATCATAAATGGACATGGTAGTTTATTTTCCCATGTTACAAAACTTTTTGCTTATTTTTCAAATTACATCTGGCTTGAAACTTAACACTGGGATGCAAATGTGCCCTATTTTTACTCCCACAATAACTTCTTTAAATAGTAAAATGCTTCTGTCCCTCTTAAAACAGTGAATTGTCATCTCAGTGGGAAGTGGCTATGCCAGATACCCTCTTCAGTAGAATGGCAGCCCAACTCTATTGCCTCACAGCAAGGTGGATAAAAATCGATTGTTAATTAAAAAAACTCCAATTTGTATTTAAAGCAAATGGTTTAATATTAATTAAATACACGTTTTTTAAAAAATCTATTTAAAAATACATTTGAAATTATGGCAATTTGTTTGATAATGTATTATAATCTATAAAAATCATTTAAATGAAAAAAAATAATATGTTTGCTTGGAAGTTTTAAAGAAAGTCAAATCACTGAACTAGGAGACGTCACTGGCTAAGCACCTAGAACCAGAGTATGCTGAAGTGTTAAACCAGCTTTTGACAGCAGTAGCTTTTTCTGTAGGCACAGAGAATGCTTTCTTGTCCGGCTGTACTGAAAGGAGGACAGGAGACACTTGATATGGTTTTAATCAGGCCGCAACTTTATTATTAGATGTCTGGGACTACCCAGCAGATAAAAATGTACTGTGCAAGTAACCCCATGATCATTTCAATAACTACCTGAGGGCTTATGCCAGTCCCCCCTTTTTCCATCCTGGTCCCTAGCCAACCCATGTGGTTACAGGGGTTAAGGTGGGCTATAAAGGAAGGGGGATTGGCTCCTGTCATGCCAGTCACAGGAGCCCTGAACCCCTTCCCCTCCCCCCATTCTGCTCCTTTAACAAACACCTCCTTTTTAAGGCCTTCACCAAGCCATTTATCTGGTCACTGTACCTTCCCTGGGGACTACCTGCACTGGACAGCCGCCCCACACTTACTGAATGAGTTGCGACATCGTAGCCTAACTCCCTTCCCTAG